CAATTTGACTTATTCTATCTTATCTTTATTCTACTTAAGCTTTAAACTTGCTATTATATTTTTCTATGATTTCCATTTGTTTTTTAAATAATTTCTATTTCTTTGCTGAGATTTCTATTTTCCCATTTGTTTTCATAATTTCTTGCTGAAGCCATTTTTATGATGGCTGCTTATATTGCTTGCCTACAATTATAATACCTGCTTCACCTTAGTGCTGTGTCTTTTGCTGTGAATGTCATTTCTCATTAATATTGTGATTTTCCTGGTTCTTTGTAGGAGTTATTTTCTATCATGTCCTAAGCATTTTAGGTAAAATGAGAGTATGAATCCTAATCTTTTTTAAAAGCAGGCAGCACACAAAGGTCAGATGGGTATGGCTGTTCCTCTTCCCTGCTGACACTTCCCTGGGAAAAGCAGGGTACTGATATATACTGCCTCACTGCAGACAGATGAGGTGGAAGTTCAGACCTCTCTCTGGCCTTGCTAACACCTTTATGAAAGTGGGGCACTGACGCATACCACCTTTTAACCTCTGACTGAGGAAGCTTAGCTCTTTACTGGGCTTCACTGATGCTACGTGATGGGAGACATGGAAGGAGTGCTGACTAGTTTGGCACCACACTTGTCCAGCTTATTATTGCTGTTGGGTAGATGTGGAAGGTTAGCTGATGGCAGGGATGCTTATTAGAACCGATTTGTACTACCTCAAGTATTACTGATACTGTATGTGGATGTATGTAGATGGAAACTCAGTTCACTACTGGACACTGATGGCAGTAAACTGGCAAGGGAATTATTAATTGAATAGTGCCTGACTCTGGAAAGATGGGATTGAGATGGAGGATCAACTTCTTTCTTGGCTCTGACTCAGCCATGAATATAGAGGTGCAGCAGTTTTTCACTTAGTGTTGGGCTGGAGAAGGGCAAGTATTGCCAAAATGTTTTCTATTGTTAGGGCACCAATTTCCTAGTCTTTTGGTGTGGGAAAACAGGCTTTGTGTGGAACTTTTTGTATGCTGTTAGTTATAGACTAGACACTTCTGAAGTGCTTTTTCAAAGATATATGAGTAGCAGTAGAAATCCCAAGGAAGTAAAGGTCAAGTCAATTCCTCAAGTTTCAAGGTTTCTAAGCAGCCTTTCTTCTTCTTTATAACTTTTAGGAACTTTCTATTCTTATTCACTGTTATATCTGAGATTTTTAATTTTGAAGAGAACTTGGGCTGAATTAAAAATAAGTTTTATCTCCTTGCAGTCCAAGGGACTCTCAAGAGTCTTCTCCAACACCACACCAAAAGCATCAACTCTCCGGTGTTCAGCTTTCTTTACAGTCCAACTCTCACATCCATATATAACTACTGGAAAAACCATAGCTTTGAGTAGATGGACCTTTGTTGGCAAAGCAATGTCTCTGCTTTTTAATATGCTGTCTAGGTTTGTCATAGCTTTTCTTCCAAGGAGCAAGTGTCTTTCAATTTCATGATGGCAGTCACCTTTTGCATGATTTTGGAGCCCCCCAAAATAAAATCTGTCACTGTTTCCATTGTTTCCCCATCTATTTGCCATGAAGTGATGGGATCAGATGCCATGATCTTAGTTTTCTGAATGTTGAGTTTTAAGTCAGTTTTTTCACTCTCCTCTTTCACTTTCAACAAGGGGCTGTTTAGTTCTTCTTCACTTTCTGCCATAAAGGTGGTGTCATCTGTGTATCTGAGGTTAATGATATTTCTCCTGGCAATCTTGATTCCAGTTTGTGCTTCACCCAGCCTGGCATTTCGCATGATGCATTCTGCATATAAGTTAACTAAGTAGGGTGACAATATACAGCCTTGATGCACTCCTTTCCCCATTTGGAGCCAGTCTGTTGTTCCATGTCCAGTTCTAACTGTTGCTTCTTGACCTGCATGAAGATTTCTCAGGAGGCAGGTAAGGTGGTCTGGTAGTCCCATCTCTTTAAGAATTTCCCACAGTTTGGTGAGATCCACACAGTCAAAGGCCTTGGTGTAGTCAATAAAGCGCAGTCAAACCAGTCAATCCTAAAGGAAATCAGTTCTGAATATTCATTGGAAAGACTGAAGCTGAAACTCAAATACTTTGGCCACCTGATGTGAAGAACTGACTCACTGGAAAAGACCCTGATGCTGGGAAAGATTGAAAGTGGGAGAAGGGGATGACAGAGGATGAGATGGTTGGATGGCATCACCGACTTGATGGATATGAGCTTGAGTAAGCTCTGGGACAGGGAAGCCTGGCGTGCTGCAGTCCATGGGGTCACAAAGAGTTGGACATGACTGAGCAACTGAACTGAACTGAAAAATAAGTTTAAAAATATTAACTACATGTATTCCCCATCCCGGTCCCCCCTCCCACCTCCCTCTCCACCCTATCCCTCTGGGTCTTCCCAGTGCACCAAGTCCGAGTACTTGTCTCATGCACCCAACCTGGGCTGGTGATCTGTTTCACCCTAGATAATATACATGTTTTGAACCACTGCAATGATGTAAAGTAATTAGCCTCCAACTAATAAAAATAAATGGAAAAAAATATTAACTAATATTTTAATTGTTTTAGATGGGAAGAGTCATTCTAATTATTTAGTCTATTATACCACCAGAAATAAAAGTCCTTTTCCTTAAGTTTTTATAAATACATTGACTCTTGTCTGACAATCTTATTTTGATTTTCAACACATCACTTTCTGTTTTAGCTCAACATACTATTTTTCTTTATCCACAATTTTGTTAATTGTTTTGTTGAGGTCCTCAAGACCACCTCTGGATTCAGTCACTTTCTAGGACAATTCAAGGATATAGCATATAGTTATACTCAAGAGTTATGATGAATAAATAATGATGCTATAATAACAATGTAAGGATACAAAGCACAATCATTGAAGGGAAAAGGAGCAAGTGGCAAAGTGCAGATGGAAACAGGCACAAGTTTACAAGAGTTCTCTCTTAGTGAAATCACACAGGTTATGCTTAATTCCTCTAGCAAGGAGCTGTGACAACATATATAAAATATTGTTGGCCAGATATTCATTAGAGATTGAAGGATTAAGGTTTTTGTTGGGAGCTTGTCACACAGGTGTACCTAATATATATCAAGACTCAAGACTCCCAGAAAGCAAGCCTGTGTTTAGTATAAAAACTGCTTGCACAAGCACTTTAGGAACCATGAGCCACTCTTACTATTAACAGAATGGGGAGAATCTTCTAAAAATTTAAGTTCTTAGATGCCAAGCAAAGGCCAACCTTTCTAGGAAGGCTTTCTAAGGAAATGAGTTTCAGGACTGCTATGTTAATTCCTTTCATCACAATTCCAAATACTAATTGTGAATTGTGAAAACCAATCAGCGATATTTGTGATAATATGCAGGTCAGGAAGCAACAGTTAGAACTGGACATGGACCAACAGACTGGTTCCAAATAGGAAAAGGAGTGCGCCAAGGCTGTATATTGTCACCCTGCTTATTTAACTTATCTGCAGAGTACATCATGAGAAACACTGGGCTGGATGAAGCACAAGCTGGAATCAAGATTGCCGGGAGAAATATCAATAACCTCAGATAAGCAGATGACATCACTCTTATGGCAGAAAGTGAAGAAGAACTAAAGAGCCTCTTGATGAAACTGAAAGAGGGGAGTGAAAAAGTTGGCTTAAAGCTCAACATTCAGAAAACTAAGATCATGGCATCTGGTCCCATCACTTCATGGCAAATAGATGGGGAAACAGTGGCAGACTTTTAATTTTTTGGGGCTCCAAAATCACTGCAGATGGTGACTGCAGCCATGAAATTAAAAGACGCTTGCTCCTTGGAAGGAAAGTGATGATCAACCTAGATAGCATATTAAAAAGCAGAGACATTACTGTGCCAACAAAGGTCCGTCTAGTCAAGGCTGTGGTTTTTTAGGTAGTCACGTATGGATGTGAGAGTTGGAGTATAAAGAAAGCTGAGCACCGAAGAATTGATGCTTTTGAACTGTGGTGTTGGAGAAGACTCTTGAGAGTCCCTTGGACTGCAAGGAGATCCAACCAGTCCATCCTGAAGGAGATCAGTCCTGAGTGTTCACTGGAAGGACTGATGTTGAAGCTGAAACTCCAATGGCCACTTGATGTGAAGAACTGATTCACTGGAAAAGACCTGACACTGGGAAAGACTGAAGGCAGGAGGAGAAGGGGACAACAGAAGATGAGATGGTTGGATGGCATCACCGACTCAGTGGACATGAATTTGGGTAAATTCTGGGAGTTGGTGAAGGACAGGGAGGCCTGGCGTGCTGCAGTCCATGGGGTCGCAAAGAGTCAGATATGACTGAGTGACTGAACTGAACTGAAGTGATTAAAGGTTATATTTTGGTACTTAAAATTCTTACTGCAAAAATATATTTATACACTAAAATTATTTAATAGGGACTATACTTGTTCAATACAGAAAATACAGGAGAAATAATGCTTAATAGGTGTGGTATAAAAAAGAAATATTCCTTAATTTGGGGGGAAGTTATTAAAAATTGTCAATAGAAAATTATTTCTATAAGATCTATAGTAGGCCAATCTGGGGTTACCTTATGATATATATCTTTCTCATGTGGGCTTTCACAAAGAATCAATTTTCCTTTGTCTATGTATGTGATACAAAGTCTTACCACATGTTAACTACATAAAGCGCATGCTGAATAAATGAATGAATGAATACCTCCTTCCCTTGATTTGCTTTCGGAAGTGATTTGAAATCAACCTCTGCAGGAAGCACTGTTTAATCTATCCTAAGTTCCAACTGGTAACAATCTTATTTTATACACTGTTTTTACACATGCATTGGGCAGTATTAAATGTCAGTGCACCCTCTACCTCCTGTAAAATCATTTCATGTGCAATTCATCTTTTATATTAGAATGTATGCCAAGACTGTATGTGAGATAGCTACATGGAGCTCCCAAATATGGCCTTATTTTGGTCAATTAAAATGGTAATTGTTACAGAAGAAGTCTTAGACTTACCTTTATCGAAGAATGTGCTAACCATAAAGCCAAAGAATATTGAAGCAGTGGCATAACACATAAGAAAGACAAAGATGAAACTATAGTCACTGTAGCAGAAGACTGGATCATTGAAAATCTACAATAAAACAATTATGACATCATGTAAAATATGCAATAAGCAGTACCATATAAACACAAGGGAAGAGGGAGAAAACTATGGCCCTAAAGAAACAGATCACACTGCCCAGTGACTGAAACTCAATGAGATGCCAAGTTAACTAATTAACTTATTTCTTACAGAAGGATTAATGTTTTTCTCAGAGATTTGGCAGTCTCTGAATTTCCATAAAAGCCATTTTTCATTCTCTTGAAAACCTGAGACTAACCAGTCCGTACTATGATTACTTTTTCCTTCTCAAAGGATAGTTGCAGTAGGTTGCAATCCACTGGAACTAAAATGTTAGATGTAACAGCCATATACAGCATGTAGCTATTGAACACTTGAAACATTAAGCACTTGGAAAGTAGCGAGTGTGACTGAGGAGTTGACTTTTTATTTTCATTGAATTTTAGTTATTTTTAACTTATACTTGAAAGATAAAGCAGTGTCAAATACAGATGAAGTGTTTCTAATGAAAATACCGTGCATAAATTGAGATGTGCTCTAAATATGAAACATACACTGGAGTTATAAATATTTAGTACAGAAAAGAATGTAAAATATCTCAATTTTTAAATTGGTTGCATACTGAAATAATATTTTGTATATATTGGCTAAATCATATACATTAGAAAATAATTTCACCTTTTCCTTTTTAAAATTTCTAGTAGCTACTAAAATCCTAATAGTACATGTATGACTCATTTCTATCGGGCAGAATGAAACTAACACTTGCCTTGGCAAAAACTAACACACATATCAAGGAGACAATAAAGATATAAAAAAAGAAGAACGTGAAGAAATGTGCAGCCCAGATCATCCAACTTCTAAGTCCAACTGTAAGCTGGTACTCCTGTAGGAAATTCAAAACAAATCAAATATTAAATATATCAGCAATTCATAACATTTTCACATACATTTAAAAACTAAATTCTCATAAAAACACATTTAAATGGATAATATCTTCATTTTATGAGTGAAAAAAATCAAGGCTCAGAAAGTCATGTGAGTTGATTACATTTATGCAGTTAGTAAGGGCAGTACTGACATTCAAATCTTTTCCTCTTGAGTTCAGAAATCTTTTGTCAACATTACACCTAGTATTAAACCAAAATGGAGAGCATTTAAAATTACACTTTGAAATATCGAGATTAAGATCTCTTTTCCATTACATCCACTTTCAGGGATATTAGATAAATGTGTTTATGGTTTCTTTCCTTTTTTAAAAATTCAATTGTAAATTAGAAGTCAGCAGTACTTCTTATAGTTGTTCTTTTTAGGCAATGAGTCTTTTCCTTCCCTATAGCTTGTCTCTGAACTTTTTGGAACTGTGGTTTGATGTCTACCATTAATTTTGTAAAAGTCTCTGCCATTATTTCTTAACTCTATTTTCACATTTCCTTTTTGAATTCCAATTATATACACGCTATATCATTGATGGTGTCCTATAGCTTTTCAATGTTTTCTTCTGGATCTTTACATAGTGTTTTCTTTTTGCACTTAAGTTTGTGTAATTTCAACTTTCTTGTATTCAATTTTTGATTCTTTCCTCATCAAGGTCAAGTCTACTGATGAGTCTGTCAAAGGCAGCCTTCATTTTTGTCAGCACGTTTTTTTTTTAATTTCTAGCAATTCCATTTGACTCCTTATAGCTTGCTGTTTCCGATCAGTTCAGTTCAGTTCAGTTGCTCGTGGTGTCCAACTCTTTGTGACCCCATGAACTGCAGCACACCAGGCCTCCCTGTCCATCACCAACTCCCAGAGTTGACTCAAACTCATGTCCATTGAGTCGGTGATGCCATCCTCTGTCATCCCCTTCTCCTCCCACCTTCAATCTTTCCCAGCATCAGGGTCTTTTCAAATGAGTCAGTTCTTTGCATCAGGTGGCCAAAGTATTGGAGTTTCAGGTTCCACATCAGTCCTTCCAATGAACGTTCAGGACTGATTTCCTTTAGGTTGGAATCTTCCTTTGGTTGGATCTCCTTGCAGTCCAAGGGACTCTCAAGAGTCTTCTCCAACACCACAGTTCAAAAGCATCAATTCTTTGGTGCTCAGCTGTTTCTGATAGCATTACCTATCTGATCATGCATGTTATCTGTTGTGCTGAAAAGAGAAAGCTTGACAGTACTGTTTTTAAAGAAGGCATGTTTTCAAGATTGGCCTTTGGTTGGTATATGGAAATTTGGCTGGTAAACCACTCCCTTCACTGATATAAAACATTTTCTAAATGATAAGAGTGTCTGACTGTGCCTAAACTGTTTGTACAAATAATATGGTGTATGCTGGATATCTGCTGTCTAGGAGTTTGGAATTTTGGTATGTGGTAGGCCAAAGGTGCTTATATAACCAGCATGCCAATCGAAACCTTGGATGCTAAGTCTCTAATGGATTTCTCTGGACAAGAACATCACAAATATGTTGCTGGATTTTCATCACTGGTGCAAGAGTATGCCCTGTGTGACCACTTGTGAAATTACTTGTGGAAGCCTGCAGGTTAATTCCTCTAGGCTTTGCCTGTGTCATTTTCTTTTATGATTCAGCTATCACCTATACTTACCCTACCATTAAAATAAACCTTAGCTGTTAGCATATCTACATGCTGAGTCCCATGAATCCTTCAAGTGAATGTCAGAAAATAGGGATAGTCTTAAGGTTTCTGGACACCTCTACTTTTTCCTTTAGTGCCTTAAATTATTAATCACAGTAATTTAAACTGTGAGGCATGGGTCAGCGGTGGACTGTGGCAGGGCCAGGGGCACTGAATGCCCCAGTGCTGCACAGGACCTTTTGAAGGAGGTCCTTCAATTATCTTCATTACCTTCACCAGTCTGGCCTCAGGTAAAACAACAGGGAGGGAACACAGCCCCGCCCATCAATATGAAATTGGACTAAAGATTTACTGAGCATTGCCCCACCCATCAGAATAAGACCCAGTTTCCCACTCAGTCAGTCTCTCCCATCAGGAAGTTACCATAAGCCTCTTACACTTATCCATCAAAGGGCAGACAGAAAGAAAACCACAATCACAGAAAACTAATCAAACTGATCACATGGACCACAGTCTTGTCTAACTCAATGAAACTATGAGCCATGCCATTTAGGGCCACACAAAATGGATGGGTCATGGTGGAGAGTTTTGACAAAACATGGTTTACGAGAGAAGGGAATGGCAAGCCACTTCAGTATTCTTGCCTTGAGAACCCCAAGAACACTTTGAAAAGGCAAAAAGATAGGACACTGAAAGATGAATTCCTGAGGTTGGTAGGTGCTCAATATGCTACTGGAGAAGAGTGGAAAATTCTGAAAGAGATGGGAATATCAGACCACCTGACCTGCCTCTTGAGAAATCTATATGCAGGTCAGAAAGCAATAGTTAGAACTGGACATGGACCAACAGACTGTTTCCAAATAGGAAAAGGAGTACGTCAAGGTTGTATATTGTCACCCTGCTTATTTAACTTATCTGCAGAGTATATCATGAGAAACACTGGGCTGGATGAAGCACAAGCTGGAATCAAGATTGCTGGGAGAAATATCAATAACCTCAGATATGCAGATGACACCACCCTTATGGCAGAAAGTGAAGAAGAACTGAAGAGCCTCTTGATGAAAGTGAAAGAGGAGAGTGAAAAAGTTGGCTTAAAGCTCAACATTCAGAAAACTAAGATCATGGCATCTGGTCCCATCACTTCATGGCAAATAGATGGAGAAACAATGGAAAGAGTGGCTGACTTTATTTTTTGGGGCTCCAAAATCACTGCAGATGGTGACTGCAGCCATGAAATTAAAAGAGGCTTGCTCCTTGGAAGGAAAGTGATGATCAACCTAGAGAGCATATTAAAAAGCAGAGATATTACTGTGCCAACAAAGGTCCGTCTAGTCAAGGCTATGGTTTTTCCAGTGGTCATGTATGGATGTGAGAGTTGGACTGTGAGGAAAGCTGAGTGCTGAAGAATTGATGCTTTTGAACTGTTGTGTTGGAGAAGACTCTTGAGAGTCCCTTGGACTGCAAGGAGATCCAACCAGTCCATCCTAAAGGTCAGTCCTGAGTGTTCACTGGAAGGACTGATGTTGAAGCTGAAACTCCAATACTTTGGCCACCTGATGTGAAGAACTGATTCATTGGAAAAGACCTGATACTGGGAAAGATTGAAGGCAGGAGGAGAAGGGGACGACAGAAGATGAGATGGTTGGACGGTGTCACCGACTCAGTGAACATGAATTTGGGTAAACTCTGGGAGTTGGTGAAGGACAGGGAGGCCTGGCGTGCTGCAGTCCATGGGGTCGCAAAGAGTTGGATACGAATGAGTGACTGAACTGAACTGTACAGTGGAGAAATAACTCCAGAAAGAATGAAGAGATGGAGCCAAAGCAAAAACAACACCCAGTTGCAGATGTGACTGGTGATGGAAGTAAAGTCTGATGTTGTAAAGAACAATATTGAATAGGAACCTGGGATGTTAGGTCCATGAATCAAGGCAAATAGGAGGTGGTCAAACAGGAGATGGCAAGAGTGAACATTGATATTTTAAGAATCAGTGAATTAAAATGGGTTGGAATGGGTGAATTAAATTCAGATGACCATTACATCTGCTACTGTGGGCAACAAACCCTTAGAAGAAATGGAGTAGCCCTCATAGTCAGCAAAAGAGTCTAAAATGCAGTCCTTGGGTGCTGTCTCAAAAACAACAGAATGATCTCTGTTCATTTCCAAGGAAGCCATTCAACATCACAGTAATCCAAGTATATGTCCAACCAGTAATACTGAGGAAGCTGAAGTTGAATGGTTCTATGAAGACCCACAAGATCTTCTAAAACTAACACCCAAAAAAGATGTCCTTTTCATTATATGGGACTGGAATGTAAGCACAGGAAGTCGAGGGATACTCAGAGTAACAGGCATATTTGGCCTTGGAGTACAAAATGAAGCAGGGCAAAGGCTAACAGTTCTGTCAAGAGAATTTACTGATCATGGCAAACACCCTCTTGCAACAACACAAGAGATGACTCTACAAATGGACATCACCAGATGGTCAATACTGAACTCAGATTGATTATATTCCTTGCAGCAAAGATAAAGAAGCTCTATACAGTCAGCAAAAACAAGACCAGGAGCTGACTGCGACCCAGATCATGAACACCTTCTTGCAAAATTCAGACTTTTGCAAAACTGAAGAAAGTAGGAAAAACTACTAGACCATCCAGCTTTGACCTAAATCAAATCCCTTATGATTATACAGTGGAAGTGACAAATAGATTCAAGGAATTAGATCTGATAGAGTACCTGAAGAATTATGGACAGAGGTTCATGATTTGTACAGGAGGCAGTGATCAAGACCATCTCCAAGAAAAAGAAGTGCAAAAAGGCAAAATGGTTGTCTGAGGAGGCCTTATAAATAGCTGAGAAAACAAGAGACGCTAAAGGCAGAGGAGAAAAGGAAAGATACACCCATTTGAACACAGAGTTCCAAAGAATAGCAAGGAAAGATAAAAAAGCCTTCCTCAGTGATCAAGGCATACAAATTGAGGACAACTATAGAATGGGAAAGACTAGAGATCTCTTCAAGAAAATTAGAGATACTAAGGGAACATTTCATGCAAAGATGGGCATAATAAAGGACAGAAATGGTAAGGACCTAACAGAAGCAGAAGATATTAAGAAGAGGTGGCAAGAATACACAGAAGAACTATTCAAAAAAGATATTCATGACCCAGATAACCATGATGGTGTGATCACTCACCTAGAGCCTGACATCCTGGAATGCAAAGTCAAGTGGGCCTTAGGAAGCATCACTATGAACAAAGCTAGTGGAGGTGATGGGATTCCAGTTGAGCTATTTCAAATCCTAAAAGATGATGCTGTGAAACTGTTACACTCAATATGCCAGCAAATTTGGAAAACTCAGCATGGCTACAGGACTGGAAAAGGTCAGTTTTCATTCCAATCCCAAAGAAAGGCAATGCCAAAGAATGCTCAAACTATTGCACAATTGCACTCATCTCACACACTAGCAAAGTAATGCTCAAAATTCTCCAAGCCAGGCTTCAATAGTACGTAAACCAGGAACTTCCAGATGCTCAAGTTGGATAAATAAAAGGCAGGTGAAGCAGAGATCAAACTGCCAACATCGATTACAGATTTGTCTCTTTGAAACGTTTTTTTCTTAATTTTTGGTGTGGCTTGCAATCCTTTGTTGAAAATCAGACATGTTAGCTAGGGGAGCATATATGAAGGTAAATAGGCCTATAGTGTGAGACTTCATATTAGATTAGCTAGGACCTGAGTTGTTTGAAATTTTAACTCTAGGTACTAGAAACATCAAATTCCTCTAGTGACCTTTCACCGTGTCCCTTCTTGCCATCAGGTTTTACTTTTACCTTTCTGCTGCTCCACACAGTTTGCTTCTGGAAATTGGCCAGCTTGGTATTCGCTCTTCCTGCTCTGTATTTGTTGTTACTGGGAAATAATCTACTTCTATGGGACGCAACAACCATCTACAATGCTGAACATGCAGAAATAATCCAATCCTCTGTGTAACACAACTCTACACGCTTACAAATCCTTTAAAGAAACTTTATAAGAAAATAATTTGGATTACCTTCAATCTTTTTTCCTTTTCCCATACAATAGATCGAATGATGGGAAGTACAGTTGGAGAGAACATGAGTATGAACATCAAAGGAAGGAAACTACCAGTGTGTAAAAGTACTCCGTCATCAGGATAAGCTGGATATGGAAATCTCTGTACAAAGATGCTGATATTGTCAAACAACTGTTTAGCACTGCTCTCATGATATACAATGATGGCCTTATCTAAGGCATGCTGTATAGCCAGGAATCCTTCTCTGATGTACCCTATATGATAAGATAAACATCATCAAGTAAAACATGCTAAGGAACATCTAATCAGACACATGCAAAAAGCAAGGTAATTCAAGTCAGTCACAGCTTATCACATATAGAACCTAAACTTAGTGTTGCATCAGGGCTAACTGAACATAATAGCTCTGAGAACCTATTATAGTTCTCACACAGGAACAAGGGTTACTTCTTCAAATTGAATCTAATTCACATCTTCTAAAAATTAAATATATTTAATAAAAGTGGTAGATTTGGTAAATGTAATTCATATTTACAAAAAATGCAACTTTAATTAAACACTGGTGAGATGAAGACTTGGAAATGTACAATAAAATGTGAAAGTCAGATTGACAGATATATATAGTGACTAATACAGTTTGGACCCCAAGGAAAATTGTTTCATTGAAACCAACTTATCCATAAAGCTAAAAGGAAGTTTAGGATTTAACTAGCTTTTCTTTTACTTATTTTTTCTACTTGGAATGTGCTTTTAATTTACAAATCTAGAGTCTTATGCATTGGTAAAATAGGTGAGACCAGAAAAAAATAATTACACTTGGGATAGACTCAAATTGCTTTTTTAAAAACTGAAGAATAGTTGATTTACAATAATGTGATAGCGTCAAGTATACAGCATAGTAACTCAAGTACATTTTTTCAGATTATATTCGACTACAGGTTAGTATAAAAAACAATATAATTTCATATACAGTAAATTCTTGTTGTTTATCTATTTTATGTATTTTGTAGTTGTTCAGTTGCTCAGTCATGTCTGACTCTTTGTGACACTATAGACTGCAGCATACCAGGCTTTCCTGTCCTTAACCATCTCCCAGAGCTTGCTCAAACTCATACCCAATGAGTTGGTGATGCCATCGAACCATTTCGTCCTCTGTTGTCCCCTTCTCCACCTGCCTTCAATCTTTCCCAGCATCAGGGTCTTTTCTAATGACTCAGCTCTTCACATCAGGTGGCCAAAGTACTGGAGCTTCAGCTTCCACATCACTTCCAATCAACATTCAGGGTTGATTTCATTTAGGGTTGACTGGTTGGGTCTCCTTTCAGTCCAAGGGATTTTCCTTTTTTTCTTCATTTATTTTTTCATTTATTTTTATTAGTTGAAGGCTAATTAGTTTACAATATTGTAGTGGTTTTTGTCATACATTGACATGAATCAGCCATGGATTTACATGTATTCCCCATCCCTATCCCCCCTCCCACCTCCCTCTCTACCCGATCGCTCTGGGTCTTGCCAGTGCACCAGGTCTGAGCACTTGTCTCATGCATCCAACCTGGGCTGGTGATCTGTTTCACCCTAGATAATATACATGTTTTGATGCTGTTCTCTCGAAACATCCCACCCTCGCCTTCTCCCAAAGAGTCCAAAAGTCTGTTCTGTACTTCTGTGTCTCTTTTTCTGTTTTGCATATAGGGTTATTATTACCATCTTTCTAAATTCCATATATATGTGTTAGTATACTGTAATGGTCTTTATCTTTCTGGCTTACTTCACTCTGTATAATGGGCTCCAGTTTCATCCATCTCATTAGAACTGATTCAAATGAATTCTTTTTAATGGCTGAGTAATATTCCATGGTGTATATGTACCACAGCTTCCTTATCCATTCTTTTGCTGATGGGCATCTAGGTTGCTTCCATGTCCTGCTTATTATAAACAGTCCTGCAATGAACATTGGGGTGCATGTGTCTCTTTCAGATCTGGTTTCCTCAGTGTGTATGCCCAGAAGTGGGATTGCTGGGTCATATGGCAGTTCTATTTCCAGTTTTTAAAGAAATCTCCACACTGTTTTCCACAGTGGCTGTACTAGTTTGCATTCCCACAAACAGTGTAAGAGGGTTCCCTTTTCTCCACACCCTCTCCAGCATTTATTGCTTGTAGACTTTTGGATAGCAGCCATCCTGACTGGCATGTAATGGTACCTCACTGTGGTTTTGATTCGCATTTCTCTGATAGTGAGTGATGTTGAGCATCTTTTCATGTGCTTGTTAGCCATCTGTATGTCTTCTTTGGAGAAATGTCTGTTTAGTTCCTTGGCCCATTTTTTGATTGGGTCATTTATTTTTCTGGAATTGAGCTGTAGGAGTTGCTTGTATATTTTTGAGATTAATCCTTTGTTGCTTCATTTGCTATTATTTTCTCCCAATCTGAGGGCTCTCTTTTCACCTTGTTTATAGTTTCCTTTGTTGTGCAAAAGCTTTTAAGTTTAATTAGTTCCCATTTGTTTATTTTTGCTTTTATTTCCAATATTCTGGGAGGTGGGCCATAGAGGATCCTGCTGTGATTTATGTCGGAGAGTGTTTTGCCTATGTTCTCCTCTAGGAGTTTTATAGTTTGTGGTCTCACATTTAGATCTTTAATTCATTTTGAGTTTATTTTTGTGTATGGTGTTAGAAAGTGTTCTAGTTTCATTCTTTTACAGGTGGTTGACCAGTTTTCCCAGCACCACTTGTTAAAGAGGTTGTCTTTTTTCCATTGTATATCCTTGCCTCCTTTGTCGAAGATAAGGTGACCATAGGCTCGTGGATTTATCTCTGGGCTTTCTATTCTGTTCCATTGATCTATATTTCTGTCTTTGTGCCAGTACCATACTGTCTTGATGACTGTGGCTTTGTAGTAGAGTCTGAAGTTAGGCAGGTTGATTCTTCCAGTTCCATTCTTCTTTCTCAAGATTACTTTGGCTATTCGAGATTTTTTATATTTCCATACAAATTGTGAAATTATTTGTTCTAGTTCTGTGAAAAATACCATTGGTAGCTTGATAGGGATTGCATTGAATCTATAGATTGCTTTGGGTAGCATAGCCATTTTGACAATATTGATTCTTCCAATCCATGAACACGGTATATTTCTCCATCTATTTGTGTCCTCTTTGATTTCTTTCATCTGTGTTTTATTGTTTTCTATGTATAGGTCTTTTGTTTCTTTAGGTAGCTGTACTCCTAAGTATTTTATTTTTTTTTTGCAATGGTGAATGGTACTATTTCCTTAATTTCTAGTCCAAGGGATTTTCAAAAGTCTTCTCCAACACCATGGCTCAAAAGCATGAATTCTTTGGTCCTCAGTTACTTTTATGGTCCGACTCTCAGATCCATACACGAATAATGGAAAAGCCATAACTTTGACTATATGGACTTCAGTCAGCAAAGTGATGTTTCTGTTTTTAATAAGCTGTGTAGGTTGGTCATAGCTTTTCTTTCAAGGAACAAGTGTCTTTTAAATTCATGGCTGCAGTCACCGTCTTCAGTGATTTCAGAGCCCAAGAAAATAAATTCTATCACTGTTTCCATTGCTTCCCCATCTATATACAATGAAGTGATGGGACCAGATGCCATGATCTTAGGATTTTGAATGTTGAGTTTTAAGCCAGCTTTTTCACTCTTCACTTTCACATTCATCAAGAGGTTCTTTAGCTCCTCTTCACTTTCTGCCATAAGGGTGGTGTCACCTGCATATCTGAAGTTATTAGTATTTCTCCCGGAAATCTTGATTCCAGCTTGTGCTTCAATCCAGCCTGGAATTTTGCATGATGTACTCTGCACATAATTTAAATAAGCAGGGTGATGGTATACAGCTTTGATGTATTCCTTTTCCAATTTGGAACCAGTCTGTAGTTCCATGTCCGATTCTAAATGTTGCTTCTTGACTTGCATACAGGTTTCACAGGAGGCAGATAAGGTGGTCTGGTATACCAATCTCTTCAAGTATTTTCCACAATTTGTTGTGATGCACACAGTCAAAAGCTTTAGCATAGTCAATGAAGCAGAAGTAGGTGTTTTCCTGGAATTCTCTTGCTTTTTCTGTGATCCAACAGATGTTGGCAATTTGATCTCTGGTTCCTCTTCCTTTTCTAAATCCATCTTGAACATCTGGAAGTTCTCAGTTCACACACTGTTGAAGCCTAGCTTGGAGAATTTTGAGCACTACTTTGCTAGCATTTGAAATGAGTGCAATTGGGTGGTAGTTTGAGCATTCTTTGGTATTGCCTTTCTTTGGGATTGGAATGAAAACTGACCTTTTCCAGTCCTGTGGCCACCGCCGAGTTTTCCAAATTTGCTGACATATTAAGTGCAGCACTGTAACACTCTTTTAGGATTTGAAATAGCTCAACTGGAATTCCATCACCTCCACTAACATTGTTCATAATGATGCTTCCTAAGGCCCACTTGACTTCACACTCCAAGATGGGCTCTAGGTGAGTGATCACACCATTGTGGCTATCTAGGTCAGTAAGATATTTTTTGAATAGTTCTTCTGTGTATTCTTGCCACCTCTTCTTAATATCCTCTGCTTTTGTTAGGTCCTTACCATTTCTGTCCTTTATTATGCCCATCTTTGCATGAAATGTCCCTTAGTATCTCTAATTTTCTTGAAGAGATCTCTAGTCTTTCCCATTCTATTGTGGTCCTCGATTTGTATGCCTTGATCACTGAGGAAGGCTTTATTATCTTTCCTTGCTATTCTTTGGAACTCTGTGTTCAAATGGGTGTATCTTTCCTTTTCTCCTCTGCCTTTAGCGTCTCTTGTTTTCTCAGCTATTTATAAGGCCTCCTCAGACAACCATTTTGCCTTTTTGCACTTCTTTTTCTTGGAGATGGTCTTGATCACTGCCTCCTGTACAATATCACAAATCTCTGTCCATAATTCTTCAGGTACTCTGTCTATCAGATCTAATTCCTTGAATCTATTTGTCACTTCCACTGTATAATCATAAGGGATTTGATTTAGGTCAAAGCTGGATGGTCTAGTGGTTTTTCCTACTTTCTTCAATTTTGCAAAAGTCTGAATTTTGCAAGAAGGAGTTCATGATCTGGGTCACAGTCAGCTCCTCGTCTTATTTTTGCTGACTGTGTAGAGCTTCTTTATCTTTGCTGCAAGGAATATAATCAATCTGAGTTCAGTATTGACCATCTGGTGATGTCCATTTGTAGAGTCATCTCTTGTGTTGTTGCAAGAGGGTGTTTGCCATGATCAG